AGAGATTGAAAAAGAGAAGCAAGAAAAAATCAGGCTTGGCCTTGAACCACCACCACCTCCCAAAGGTTTGATCAGTCACTCACTCGGTTTGTTAATGAAACAAACTTTTACTCCCAANAAATACTTGTCCTGTACATTGTGGATAATTATAGAGTCGTAGCAAACTCTGCACTTCCTAACTTCCTCATACTGGTTTACAGATGTCCATTACAGAGTGCGTTTTCTTCCTCTGATTTTAGTTAAGATTTCCAACCTGATGAGAGTTTTGGGGAATGAAGCAGTACAGGACCCAACTAAAGTTGAGGCTCATGTTCGAGCACAGATGGCTCAAAGACAAAAGTAAGCTGTATTGGGTAATTTGCTTTGATCAACTGGTTTGATAATGTGAATTGGCCATTGTAAAGGGTTTCAAAGCTGACATTTCGAGCATTAGCCGTTCGTTGATTCACTCTGGTGAAGGGTGAACACTCAAACCCCTTTATGGTGGCCAATTTACTTTAACAACTCAGTTGACGAAACCAAAGGATCTTGTTAGCGCCACCCAGTTAGCCCAATGGATAGTGCGCTGGACTGTTGTGCAGGAGGTCAAGGGTTTGAGCCCCAGCCGGACCAACACTCAAGGTCTTAAAATAATTGAGAAGAAATGGTTAGATATTCTAGTCTTCTCGGATAGCGATGAATAAATGGAGGTTCCGTCTCCTGCAGGGTTGGGGTAGGAGATGTTAATTTCCCACACATGAGATTACTGTGTGATGGATGTCCTCCCCTGGGGAGGGATGGTGAGTTTACTGAGCCCGCAGTAATTGGTGCAAGCTGTTGCGGGGTCCCTGCCTGTCGGTGAAGCTAATAAATTAAATTAAAATTAAATTAAATGTTATCCCCACTGACCCAGCATCACAGTTTCTTTGAAACTTACCCCTTTATTAAGTTGTATTTGCCTGCGGTAGTTTAATGATCTCTCTAACTCAACCCACCAAGTGCTCTTCTCAGTAACTTAATTTGTCTGAGTAATATCTATAGTACAAGGAAAAACTTTGTAAAACAGACATAAAACTAGAATTGTTTCTCTTCTTGTGAGAGAGCACTGAACACTCCAGTGAACAATTCAGTTGAACAAGTCCAATGTGTGTTACCATAGTTTACTAAGATATGCCTTTCACTGCATCTGATGTATTGAAACTACTGTTTGTAGCCATGTTTAGACATGAATTGTAAATGCCATTCTCTAACAAATTTTGAGTGAGTAACCTTTTTCAGGAGTGTGCTTTGTTGTTATGAGTGGAGGTACTTTGCCTCGTTTTCTTGCAGAGTGGTTTGGATTTTATTATGATCTGAAATGTTATTGAGCAGTAGCTTTAACTACTGTGGATCTACTTTGTTCATTGGTAGACTTGCAGCAGTTCACCGGTACTAGAAAAGATCATAAACCTTGTTTTTTTTTTTATGAACAGGGCTCATGAAGCTGCCAACGCTGCGAGAAAACTGACTCCCCAGGCGCGACGCGAGAAAACAGTCCGTAAATTAAAGGAGGATACATCCCTTGGTGTTCATGTCGCGTTGTTCAGAGTAACAGAACTTAAAAATCCTCAGAGAAAATACAAAGTGGATATCAATGCTCAGCAGCTGTACTTAACAGGTATATTTTCACTTTGAAGTATCTGGTGGTCAAATATTAAGTGCAGGTTGGGCCAGTATACTCACACAAGGCCACAAAGGTCACCCTTTTAAAAAGACGCAGTAAATCTAGTAATTAGTGTGCAACAATCTGGATGGGGAACAAAAGAAAACAAAAGTCGAAAACGAAAGACCCAAAATCTCGAACAACCCAACATACGAAAAATGAAGACTCCTCCATAACACGGACCCCTCCAAAAACACGAAAACCAGGGCCTCCTTAATCGAAATTCGAAGATCCCCCAAAGTACGAAAACGAAGAACCTTTCCCGAGAGTCCTGATGTTTCCCGAGACGAAGTCAGGGAAACATCAGGACTTGAGGGAAAATAAAACTAACTGGTTTCTCGGGGAACCATGCATTTCAGTACTTTGTTATCTATTTAGTCTTTCCCTTAAACAATCATATGGCAAAAACATGCGGTTGTATTGTATTCGGCGCGCGGGAAACTTTGTAATTGTATCCGATACGTGGTTCCTTAAAAAAAACCGTGATTGATTCAAACGCATGATTATCTGTAAACTTTCCGGCAATGGCGATGATTAACCCTGTGGTTTGTTTTTGAAACTGTAGCTGAAAGTGGTTCAGTGGCTGTGGTATATCTTATAGGAAATCTTGCGTTAAAGGGAGCCAGGTAATCGCTGACTCTCTTCGTTTTTGTTGTTGTCTTTTTGTGGTTTTGAACGAGGTTTTGTCCCATCAACAGGGTGCGCTCTCCTGTACAAAGATGTCAATATAGTCATTGTAGAGGGAGGACCAAAAGCTGTGAAAAAATTCAAACGTCTAATGTTGAGTCGAATTAAGTGGGAAGATGAAAAAGATTCTGACAATGATGATCACGCCGAAGAAGCAGCAAGCAAAAAGACCGCTCCATGTGTGCTGGTGTGGGAGGTAAGAGTACATTTGCACTCTCCCCATTTCAGGTGACGGTTTGTGATGAGGATGACATGATTTGTGTTGTAGTTATGGTAACCATTTGTTATAATTCATCGGTCAAACCTTTTTAGCCAGACTGCTTACCTTGCTAAAAACAAAAAAAGCACGAAAGTAATTTTTAAGGGAAAATGACGATTCCTCCGTATTATGTTATTTATGTATTTAGCTCATCCTAGGTCTGAAAATGTCTTCTGTATCCTAAGAAGTAGCCTGCTTGCAGGTGGTAGTTGATGTCCGCGAGATTCAGCGCGGCGAATATATTCGGTAGCCATGTTAGACGGGCGGAAGATCTGAGACGAGTGACAAAGCGATGGGGAGACGGAAGGAAGAGACAGCCGCCCTGAATCTCGCGTACACCAATTACCGTCGGCAAGCAGGCTACCTAAGAAACAGGATTATAGTAGTAGCTAATGATTACCGCTTTTCGTCGCGCAGGGTACCAATCAAGAGAGAAGCTTCAGTGACTGGAAATTTAAGTTATGTCCGATGCAGTCCATGGCGAGAGATCATCTGAAGAAATACGGAGTAGAACACTATTGGGATTTGGCTCTAAGTGAGTCGCTTTTACAGAACGCTGATGACTAAAGTGTGTACTTTCATATATTTCCTTTTCCATTTATGGCACAGTTTGTTAGATCGCCAGAAAGCTCGCTATTCTTTTCTCGCCGAGAAAGATCATTGGAGTGAGCGATGAGCGAGATTGGGAAGAGTTGTTAATGTCACTAATGAGCCTTGGAAAGGGGAGCTTAGTCACAGGATTGGTTGATAAAGAGAAAACAGTTGGTTGTTTTCTAAACCCTTTTCGCCAATCAAAAGTTGACGTGGGAACTGGCTGTGCTCTGAAACTGTGTGGTCGAGAGCTCTCTCATTTGTTAGAAATTGAAGTGGATTTTCTATTACCAACTACCAGTCTGTTATAATTTTTCATTTTTGAAATAAAATAATGAATGTCTCAAACATGGCCTTGTCCGCATGATTCTGTGACAGATGTATGGTACTGTTTTATATGTTGAGTGCTTTCTGTAACCAATGGAGTTCTCTTCTCGTGGTAATCGGTTACAGGAGTAAATGACGAGGTCACTCGGAAAATCGCACAGTTTTTGTAACCACAGATAGAAAGTTAACACTAAGCCAGGTTATATACCGTTTAGATGCTCCGATTCTAATGAAATTCATGCGCGCGCCGCCATTTTGACGAGATAATCATCTTAGTTGTGACGTTAAACCGTACAACTTTTTATGACCCCGTGTGTTTCGAGTGTTTAGTAAGGAGAGGCCGATACGGTTTTTCCGAATCGATACGATATCAAGTATTATTAAAAACTAGATCATTGGATAGTGCAACTCAAGACTTTTTAGTGGCTTTGCCATTATGGTATAGGAGCCAATATACCATAAGCTAATATCTGTTTATTGTAACATCCGGTTTGTTCTTACAAAATCAAGTCGAGTAGATTTGGCTAGTATCTTGGGGGCGTTTTTCTTGATAAAATAATTATTCCACTCGCGCTTGTTGGATATGAGATGATTATTGCTAACTCGGAGCTACGTGCCTCGTTGGCTATCTATCATCTCGTATCCAACGCGCGCTCGTGGAATAATTGTTAACTATACTGACGTTTTTCTTCGATTTCGATACAGTGACGTCGATGAGTGAAAGGGTAAGTCACGTGATTTGATTGACTCGATAAAGGGTTATCTCGCACTCATAAAGTTACATGTGTTCACTACTCTTAAGAATCATCAGCAAGACAGTAAAAATTTAAAATCGGATTAAGGACGTACTATGAGCGTAAGAAGTGTTGTATTCGCCTTTCCAACACTGTTATCCCTCATCTTATGGGAAAAACTAGCAAAGGGTTACTCTGCATTTAATTCAAATCTTTAAAAAGCCGCCGGAATACCTTAAAGAAGATATGACATTCAAAGATGGCAGTTACATTTTTGTACAGGCATGTCTCGCATGTCTTTACTTTTGTATCATGGTTGGCATTCGTTCTATTCAGTCGAAAAAGCATACGATTTTTTGAAAACTGTCTGGATGGCACTCATATTTATTAAATTGCCTTGGCCTAGGTGGAAAGAGATGGTGAAGGAGAGTCGTCAGTGACAAATCCGGCGCAATTTTTTTTGCGGTGCCGCTACTAAGCGTACTATTTGACTCGGAAAGCGAAATCCTTCGCCATGCTTGTAATTGTCTATTTTTCGCCTTTGTCAGAGAAATTCCATAACATCCTCGGATTAAAATTGGTAAAAATAACAACACGAGCTCCTCGTGTCTGACCATTTCAGTTTCCTGTCTCAGTTTCTGCGAGTGAGCTTCCTGAGTGGGTACTCAAGATTTAGAATTGTGGAAGTCCACCACACTTTCATTATTTCAATGTATTTTCATCTAATCGAAGATCCAAACACTAACAATGGAATATCTCAAAGAATTACTAGTGCCAAAAACATTCAACAGAGTCAGCCATGTCGCAGTTGTTCTCTGGATTATGATCGGTGCCATCTTCTTTGGCGTTTTTGCTGACATAGAAAGCGGCGAAGCCAGGTATGATTTCCGTTGTGGCGGTGCCGACGGTGAACACATAGACCTCGTCCGTGGAAACTGTTTTGAACTATACGAGAAGTAGTACAACAAATACAGCCTTCCTGTTTATGGCTTCGTGATCGCTAACTTCTGCCTTATTGGAACTGTCTGTGCTATTTACTCTCATTTAGTGGGACCTACAGTCGATCAACTGTCGCGAAGCATTCGTGACAGCGACCCTGAGAGACAGCCGCTCGAACAAGAGAACCCACCATCAAACCGATACAAGCTTTTCATCGCTTACTGTTGTCAACTATCCGCAAGATTTGTTTTCGGAGTTCTCTTCATATTCCTAAAAACTCATTTTCTTTATACTACGGACTTTCCCTCCAGCTTTCCTTGTTTTCTATCCTCTGGAGAGAATCAGCCAAGGAATTCTACTGGTGTCATGCAAAACTCCACATCAATTTTACACGAGTGTCATAATCAACGAGCAACTAAGAAAAACTCCTGGATGTTCGCTGTCCTGATCGTGAACGGAATTTTAGTCTTTAGCATCCTGATGGAAACCGTCTATATTTTGACACAAGCGCGGAAAGGGAACAGCTTCATGGAAAATCTAAATTTTCTAAAAGCTCACCTGAATCCCCCTCCAGACAACCCGCAAAATGCTACCGCCTCGGTCAGGTTCAACCAAGAACTTCTGCAGCGAGGAGAAAGAACAGAACTGGAGACAAACCTCGCACGAGAACCTCAGCAGCATGAAGAAAGAACAGATTGTGAGACAAACATCGCACAAACACAAGAACCTCACCAGCACGAAGAAAGAACAGAACGTGAGACAAACATCCCACAAAGACCTCAGCAGAAAGACGAAAGTGGAACAGAACATGAAACAAACATCCCACAACTGCAGCCAAGCGAGCCTGAACAACTTCAAAAATTCATCGAGAAAACAAAGAAAATGATCAGAGAAGACACATATCAACCTCCACAACTCCGGTCACTTTTTACAAGAAACCCAGCTAAACATTTGACACTGGATCAGATTTACACAAACCTTGTTGTTGTACCGGACAGGGCTAGTTATGACTTTACTGAAGACAGACGGAAGAATTTGGAACTCTACGCCAGGTCAGGTGAGAAAAACAAAACACTGAGGGGGCCAGAGGACATTCTTAATCACGAAAACAAACACGTTTTGATTGTCGGTCGTCCGGGAATCGGGAAGACACTATGCTGTACAAAAATTCTTAGAGACTGGGCATCTAACAAACTATTCCATAAAACAACTGATCACGAAATCCACTTTGATGCTGCTTTCTTTGTCAAATTCAGAACATTGAACACTGCACCCGACCTTACCCTTAGAGAGCTACTGACGCGCTCCACATACTCACTCAGCAATCAACTGGATGATGAAGTCTGGAATTACATTCCTTAAAACCCCCAGAGAGTTCTCTTCTTTTTCGATGGAATCGATGAATTCAAATGTAATTCAACGATCGGCACGGATGATAATAATCCTCAATTCAGAAACAGCGTAGACGAGAAGATGCCCCTTTCCGCTCTTTATGCCAAGCTTACGACTGGGCAACTTCTTAACGGAGCTGCCGTTTTGACAACTACAAGACCTACGGCTATGTCATGCATCGAAAGCCTTCCTTTCGACAAAATCTACGAGATCCTTGGCTTCTCATCCGAACAAGTCGAAGAGTACGTTACCAAATTTGCTGAAGAAGAGAAGGAAGCAGGCGGCACACTATGGCGACACATCAACAGCAACATCAACCTGTTGTCTCTCTGCTACATTCCTGCGAGTTGCTTCATCGTTTGCTCAAGTCTCTTCCAAATGCTAAGGTACTACGGTTCTAAAGGTCTTAGCCTACCAACAAAACTGACAGACATTTACAAGAAAGCGGTCAAAATTTTCTACTTGAGGCACAACGAAGAATTTCGCTATAAATATTTCACTCGCGAAGACTTCGAATCAGATAAATTGCTCCCTGAAGTGGAAGAGAAATTCGAGAAACTGGAAAAAATGGCATTTGAAGGAATTAAAGATGGAAGGCTGATCTTTGGGGGAAACGAAGTACACGGAATGGAAGACAGCGCTCTATTTCACCGCTTAGACGACCGTGACACTGGTCCGTTTGAAAGCGAAAGACAGTTTTGTTTCATTCATTTGACAATGCAAGAGTTTTTCGCCGCGAGATATCTCGCAAACTTGAGTGAAACAGAATTAAGGAACTTTGTCTCCGCGAACATTAAAGACGGCAAATATCAACTTGTGTTTCAGTTCTTAGCAGGACTAGTGAATGATAAAGAAAACCTATTTAGTGAGATATTCACTGACCTTCTTCCCGTGAAAACTGAAGAGAGAGAATGCCACAACGAAGGGTGGGCAGAGAAAACGAAAGTGACTTGCTGGCCGACTAAAGACGAACAAGAATTAGCAGTGACACTGTTAAAATGTATAAACGAAACAAGTCAAATGACCACAGTAGTGCAGAGGAAACTACAACAAAGTAACTTTAATTGTGTAAATTTTA